TGTAATATTTTTCAGTTGGGAGCCATCAAAAAGGATCATTTTAAATTCATTCCTCAGCTTGGGAGATTTTAGATCACATAGGTGCAATAGTTTTCAACCGTAATCATTAGTGAGGGTTCAATTGTGACTACAAATTTTCACAGAATTTTTTTTTTTTTCCATTTAGAGCCAAGAACAAGACAGATATGTTTTTATGACCTTTCCCTTTGAGGAGCCTTTTTCCAAGATGATAAAATTCCTGTTGTTTGATTTGGAAAATCTCAGCTATTAATTAGATTTTTCCACTGAGAAGGGAGTTGCCTTATTGACTGTTAAATTGTCTAATCTGGTCCATTTTATAGTTATCACTGTAATTTTACTTGGCATTTTGGAAGCCAACTGATATTGCATAAGCAGTCTTCTAGCTATTTCTACCAAACTCCTGTAGACATTGTCTTCAAACTCTGGCAATTTCAAATTTAAATATACTCAAAATTACTCCCTGCTGGAGTAATAATTACATTTTCCAATGCAATTTATAAGAGTTCTATATGGACCAAAAAATTTAACACATGAATATTTGATCTGAACTTTTAGCAATAATGAAATGTGCTTTGTTCAACCATGAATTTCATAAAAAGTGCCCTTTTTGATATTATTCTTTGTGTTTTTAAATATGCTTTTAGTGATTCGAGTCTATAGTAATGTAGCATATTTTATTTTAAACATTCTTTCAAGGTATGCAGCAAAAGATGAAGAATTAAAAAAAAAAACACTGCAATGTCAGATTAAACTTTTGCAATGAATTAAACATCCTACTTGTTGGTCATTAAACCATGCCGGGGTGGCAGGGGAATGGAGGATAATTTAAGCCCTTGAAAGACTTGAAGTCCAAACTCAGATGTAGATGGACTGTGACACACATTATTTTATGTGGCACTCAACACAAAGCAGCAGTCGTGAACATTGATTGAAGTCATTAAGGGGTTCTATGCTGTGTGCGGAAGGGGTAGGAACTCTAGGCTACTCTAACTTTACATGCTAATTCTCTTCCTTACTGGCCATGTGACCATATGACATGTTATTAGACCTTTAGTTTTCTCACCTGTAAATGGAAGATAATAATACTGATCTTACAGGGTATGCATAAGGATCAATTTTAATAATAAATATTGAAGATCTAGAATAGAGAGAGCCTGGCGCACAGTGGCCATCAGTACTAGTTATAGGGCTTTTGTGACATGACAACCTAACCAAATTATTGTCATGAAGGATAGAAATCAGAGTCTTCATAATACTAGAGAGCTTTGGCAATGAAGCTTAGATAAATAATAGTTTTTAATTTTTTATATTGCGCAATCATTGTAACATAGGTAAATTATTTAGAATGAAATTGTATGTTGATCAACTGGCCAAATAAAGACTAAATGTTTCTTAATGTAATATACCATTTTATTTATTTCTCTTGAACTATAGCCCTTTGGAAAGAAAATAACATAAATAGATTCTTACCTCACTTTATTAAAACACAGCCCAATTGGATTAAATATTTAAATGTTAAAAAATTTTTAAGTAGGAGCATAAAGATATTGGAAGAAATATGCATAGATTTCTGTGTGAAGACAATTTGGCTATGCAGGGCATAATGTCTAGAAACCACAAATAGATAGATGGGTAAGACTGACAACATGAAAATTTAAAAATTTTTGTACTTCATAAATAAATTCCAAAGCCAAGTAACAAATTAGGAACATTTTTGGCAGCATATATGATAAGAAAATGGCAATTACTTTAGTATTCAAAGAAAGAACTATTACAAATAATTGAAAAGTACTGATTTAATTTTAAAATTGACAAAAATGTTAATAGAAGTCAGAAAAATAAATGCAAATGAACAATAAACATCTAAAGTGCATTCATCCACATTCATGATTTTTAGAACATAAATTCAAATAATGGTAAGGCATTTTTCAACTATCAAAATGTTAAACAATACTCATTTGATATTAAATATTTTGTAATTTTGGCATGTATAATAAAGTAGGCACTTCCATTCACTTGCTGGGAGTGTAAATTGCTGCAATTAATTTTGGAATGTGTATACCAAACTTTACTCCTGCTAGTAATTTATTTACTGAATAAACTCAAAGATCTGTGCATTTAAGAATTGTCATTGCAGGATTATCTACACAGATTTTTAAAAAAATATTAGATAAACCTAAATGTTGATGATAAGGAAATAGTAAAATTAAGGCCAGTTATTGTCTTAGCATGGTATGATATTAG